GGGTTTAAACCAAGTGTGCCGCAAGCCTGTGTTTGAGTGAAGGTCTCGGCCGTTAGATCGCCCACTGGGGGCTGGCTGCAGTACAAGTCATAAAGCCCGCCTCCTCCGTGTTAATGAAGGAGACTTGAGCCCAAATAAAAACATTTATTACACTTGCAATAAAATGTCCAGAAAGATGGTTCTGGTGGATTAAGGCACTGGTTATTGTGCTGAAATAGGTGCAGATCTTCATTTGTGTAAACAGTTTGTTTTTAGCAGTAATTTAATGCTGGGCGTGTCATCATGATTGACAGCTGTGATTGACAGTTTCTCAAAGCAGCGCGTCTGAGATTCAGCAGGAGACTGAAGTAGACTGAAATGTTATTATTCGATTTCTGTGTTATTTTACCATGACAAAATGAGTTCAGCAGTAAACTATAGTTTCTGACATACATGATCCTGGTGGAACTCTGTTTATTCGCTGAGGTCAGGGCTTTTTTCGAGCTTTATTAGTTTGCTGATACATGCCTAGCCACCCAGATAGCAAAACACAGTTCCGGCTAGATTCTCGCCTGCCGGAGACTTACCCCTCAGAGCTCAGACTGACTACCTCTGCTGGACCTACTCCGGATGCCTGGACTCACTGCCCGATTCCACCCCGAGTCAATCAAGCCAGATGCGGAGGCCGAGCGAGCCGGCGCTGCCGCATACGAGCCGGAATCAGCCCGCGACGCCGCGAGTAGGTGATGCGCTGCGGCCCGGAGCTGGCGCGATTGAATATATAAAACCCTCATATTTGTTAATGTTATTACATCCATTTGTGTTGATATGACAGCAAACGCATGCTGAGCAGTTCGGGGGGCGTGGTTGATTTTACATAAAGCGTTTGGTTGGAAGCTCGACTCTGCTCATTTTCGCGGCTCCTCCTCTGGCTCCATCAGACAGTCCTTCTGCGCATGTCAAGGCTCCAATTTCAGCAGTCTTTTGCGACAGTTTGTGCCCGTCAAGCAGGCGTTTTGCCCTCAAGGCGTTCAATGGGAAAAGGGGCTGTCGCGTCGTCCATATTTTTTACAGTCATTGGTTTAAACCCAGTTGTGTGTGAATATCTCCAGCCTCTGATGATCAACATGAATGAATTGTGTTTGTTTTAATCAGACTTGATGAGTGAAACACTTTGATTGACATGCTCCCTTTTATAAAAGGGGGAAAGCCCCGCCCACTAGTGCCCATCTCTCCCTCATTAGCATAACCAGCAGCCCTGAGTGAGAAGCAGCCGTCTGTACATTAGCCATTATGGTGTTTGAGCTGCTGAAGATAGCGTCAGCATAGACTAAGAGGATTATAGATGTGGAGTGTTAGATGAACACACACTCACACTGAAGCACACATGGTGTAAACGCCTATTAAAGTGTCAGAAATAAAAGAGTGTGTTTCTACAGGTGGTTTGTCAAGCCCACTTACATGTGTGAGGCACACTTATAAATGCACAACACTTTATACAGTGATATTGAGTGATTGTTTGTAAATATCCGGTGCAAATGTGAAGGAGAGATGAAAGAGTGTGTTTTCCACAGGTCATGAGGTCTGGATGAGGGGTATTGGTGAAATAGCGTGCAACATCTGAAAGCTTGAAGATTTGATGGCCGTCCTGCTGTATAAATGCGTTGGTCTGAGCCGATGCACACACACACACACACAGCATTAACATCAGACGCTAAAAGCACATTGCTGACAGCCAGGAGTCTGGAAAAGGTCACACAGTTTCACTTGAATATCGTCTGCAGCTCTTAACAGCAGGTTTAATGAGAGCGGACAGCAGAGAGAGAAGAACACTGATCATGATGCAACTATTGCCTTCAGAGAGACCTGCTAACACACTCACACACACACACACACCTTAATGTCATTGTATTGTTTTGTTTACTCATTTTTAACCCTTATGTACATTTTTAGACCACATTTTATGTACAAATGTATATATAATAAATTTTCTTTTTCTTAAAACTCTACTTTTTATATTAACATTATATGTTAGGCACCTAGGGTCTTAGAGTAAGGTAATTTCAATTCTCTATATGTCCTGTACATGTGGCTGAATTGACAATAAAGCACAAACACACACACACACACACACACACACACACACTGTTCTGTGCTGATGTTGATTTCAGCGTTCGTTTCTGTTCCTGTGCATAAGATTAAAGCACATTCACAGTCAAATTCAGGTCAGATTTGTTGATCTGTACATTTAATGCTTCCGTGTTTGTCCTTGCGGCTCCATGTAGAGTTACAGCGCCATCTAGTGTTTGTGTCTGAACGGCTCCTAATGTGTTGCACTTTATTAATCGATATTATAGGGCTAATAATTCAGGAGGTGTTGAGGTGGAACCTCTGGAATGTTCTGATAGTCCTTGAAAACTGGAGACTCCGGTAAGAGAGTAAAGGGCTCGGAGAGTTTCATCCAAAAATAACTTTAAAGAGTGGGTATATTAGTACAGGTTAACCGTTGTTGGGATAAGTACAGAGTGGATGCGAGAGTTTGCGTATATGTGTGTGGTCTGGAACATAAAATAGGACAAATTAAGTATCAATAAAATATAAATAAAAACATTCCATAATGTAAATAAGTTGTCATTTAATAGGAATATGTCAATAACTCCATTTTGACAAAAATGAGATAGAAATTTATAATTCTGAGGTGACGATTTGTATATTACATTTCTATTGTCTGTTGTCTATTGTAAAGTGATATTAAGTCAGAAATCACTATATAAAATAAATATAGCATTTGTAATATTATTATTATTTATTATTATACTATCCTAAGGTTTTGATTGACCTGAAAAATCTATTAATAATATTGGAAATGTTAAATATATATATATATATATATATATATATATATATATAGGAAATATATATTATATTATTATATTATAATTATAATTTTATAATAATAATATTATAATTATAATATTATAATAATATTATTAATATATAAATATAATAATATTAATAATATATTAATAATATTGGAAATTATATATATATATATATATATATATATATATATATATATATATATATATATATATATATATATATTTTTTTTTTTTTTTTTTTTTTTTTTACATTTCCAATATTATTAATAGTTTTACAGATTTTTAAGATCAATCAAAACCTTTGGATAGTATAATTAATAATAATAAATAATAATAATAATATTAATACAAATGCTACATTTATTTTATATAGTGATTTCTGAGTGATATTTTTATAATACCGATATATTTATTTATATATATTTTTTGACATGCATGAAGTTTAAACATGTGCAGGTGCAATTCAGGAGGTGTTGAGGTGGAACCTCTGGAATGTTCTGTTAGTCCTTGAAAACTGGAGACTCCGGTAAGAGAGTAAAGGGCTCGGAGAGTTTCATCCAAAAATAACTTTAAAGAGTGGGTATATTAGTACAGGTATCAATAAAATATAACAGGTTTAGCAATTAACTAACAACAGTCAAACATTTCCATTCAAATTACAGCAGAAAACAATCTTTAAATATAGGAATAAATTCACTGTCAAACTGTAGTATATGGAAATGACTCGAAATTACACCATCTGTCCAAATATATACATCAATCCAACAAAGAAACATAAATATTATGGACTAGCATATTAGCTTCCCAACACCGATTGACATATAACATAGGATAATGCAAATATATGCATTAAAGGAGAAATATAACATTACATATATTGTATTAACAGTATTAACATAAGTATTATACATATTTTTGATGGAAATCAGTAAATAAACTCACTTTCTTGGCATGAACGCACACAGGATAGATGTTTTGCCCTCTCACCGTGCCTCACAAGTGATTTATGCCGTGTGCTTGCTCTTAAAAGTGAAAGTAGATGTCGGTCAAATTAGAGAGGTGCGCCATCTAGTGTATACTCAAAAGAACTGCAACTCCGTTTTAGGACTTTCCTACAGGAGGGTTAATAATTCTGACCTTTTTTTTTTCAAGACAAAGCTTAGGTTACATTTAAAGGCTTAACTAGGTGAATAAGGTGAACTAGGCAGGTTAGGGTAAATTAGGTTAGTAATTAGTTATTGTATAATGATGGTTTGTTCCATAGACTATCGAGAAAAAATAGCTTAAAGGGGCTGATAATTTAGTCTCAAAAATGGTCTTTAAAAAATGTAAAACTGCTTTTATTCAAGCCGAAATAAAACAAATAAGACTTTCTCCAGAAGAAAAAATATTATCAGACATACTGTGAACATTTCCTGAATCTGTTCAACATCATTTGGGAAATATTTATAAAAGAAAAATAATCAAAAGGGGGCTAATAATATATATATATATATATATATACTGTAGTGGCGCAGTAGGTAGTGCTGTCGCCTCACAGCAAGAAGGTCGCTGGGTCGCTGGTTCGAACCTCGGCTCAGTTGGCGTTTCTGTGTGGTGTTTGCATGTTCTCCCTGCCTTCGCGTGGGTTTCCTCCGGGTGCTCCGGTTTCCCCCACAGTCCAAACACATGCGGTACAGATGAATTGGGTAGGCTAAATTGTCCGTAGTGTATGAGTGTGTGTGAATGAGTGTTTGGATGTTTCCCAGAGATGGGTTGTGGCTGGAAGGGCATCCGCTGCATAAAAACTTGCTGGATAAGTTGGCGGTTCATTTCGCTGTGGCGACCACGGATTAATAAAGGGACTAAGCCGACAAGAAAATGAATGAATATATATATAAGTATAACCATGAAGTGTCACATAATTACTTCAGTTCTGCAATTCAAAAGCAGCCTTTAGCTCCTAAATAAATCACTCTTCATGCCTGAGAATTATCAGTGTCCTGTAACAGCATGACTTCTGCACCTGTGTGTGACTGTCACAAGTGTGTGTGTGTGTGTGAGTGAGACAGAGATAGAGAGAGAGAATGAGTGTCTCTTTAATGTCAATGTGTGTGTTTGTGTGTGTGTGTGTGTGTGTGTGTGTGTGTGTGTGTGTGTGTGTGTGTGTGTGTGTGTGAGGGCGTGAGTGCATGCATACGTGTACGTGTGTGTTTCCTCCACCCACCGCAGCTCTTCTCACTCCTCTGCTCTCTCTCTCTGCTCCTCCAGCTCTGCTCTTCTGCTCCTGCAGGTAAGCTCAGGGGTCAAACAGGGGTCAAAGGAGACGTCCAGCAGCAGGACGGCTCTCTGTGCTTCTGGTGTGTGTGTGTGTGTGATTCTCCTGCAATCTGAAGGATATTTCAGACTTTTATTGTTCAGACAGAAAAAACACACAATAATAACTACACATATCATTTTTTGCAGTTGCTTTTACCTTTAATGGCTGTAATTAAAACTGCATTTAACATATTTCCCACAACACTACACTGTTTTAGTTGTCTGTGGTATCCACAGTTGCGTTTGTATCAAATATTTCTTCATATTTATGTATTTTAATATATTTTGTACTGATTTTAATGCTTAAGTATGTATGCAAGTCTCTATAAGTCATTTATTTTTAGCTGAATATTTAACTGAAATGTGTACTATTTTATTGTTATTTGTTTAAACATTAACATACAATTTTTAGCTAATGCTGTCTATAATATTGTGTATTTATATTTTCGTCATCTTGGAATTATAAGTCTGTCTCTGGATGATTTTGAGATATTGAGCTTTACAGTTTTTGCATTTCATAGCAAACAGTATATGTGTAACATTTGCTTTTTAAATAAAAAAGTCTTAAAATGTAAACAACTTATAAAAAAACATGCCATAATGTAAATAAGTTGTCATTTAATAAGAATATGTCAATAACTCCATTTTGACAAAAATGAGATAGAAATTTATAATTCTGAGGTGACGATTTGTATATTACATTTCTATTGTCTGTTGTCTATTGTAAAGTGATATTAAGTCAGAAATCACTATATAAAATAAATATAGCATTTGTAATATTATTATTTATTATTATACTATCTTAAGGTTTTGATTGACCTGAAAAAAAAAAAAAAAAAAATATATATATATATATATATATATATATATAATATTGGAAATATATATTATATTATTATTATAATTTTATAATAATAATATTATAATAATTATTATAATTATAATATAATAATATTATTAATATATTAATAATATTAATAATAATATTATTAATATATAAATATAATAATATTAATAATATATTAATAATATTGGAAAAGTTATATATATATATATATATATATATATATATATATATTTTTTTTTTTTTTTTTTTTTTTTTTTTTACATTTCCAATATTATTAATAATTTTACAGATTTTTAAGATCAATCAAAACCTTTGGATAGTATAATTAATAATAATAAATAATAATAATAATATTAATACAAATGCTACATTTATTTTATATAGTGATTTTTGAGTGATATTTTTGTAATACCGATATATATTTATTTATTTATATATTTATTTGTTGTATTTATTTCTATATTTATTTATTATATTTTTTTGACATGCATGAAGTTTAAACATGGTAATATGTTACATAATTTGTATCATTTATGTTTAAAACTGTACAGGACAATTACAAACCTAATTAAACAGACAATTATAAACATTTACACTATTTAATTTAAAGAGACACATCGTTTTTACTACTTAAAATCAAGCTGACTTTAACAACTAGTTGTTGTCAGTTTCTGTGGCATTACATTAAAGTTTACATCTTTTACAGTTTTGTATCTCCAGTGTTTTTCAAGCTTAAACAGTTTTACGGAGCCAAAAACCTCTGAAAGCAGGTGCAATTGTAGGATTGTCCAATTAGGGGGCTTATTATTTATTTTATTTTATTTATTTCTATTAATTTTTTTATAGTTTCTGTTGTGTCTGTGTGTGTGTGTGTGTGTGTACTAAAATTACAAAACATTATTATTTATTATATATATATATATATATATATATATATATATATATATATATATAATAAATTAGGGGTGAAGCAGTGGCGCACTCAGTTGCCGTTTCTGTGTGGAGTTTGCATGTTCTCCCCATGTTGGTGTGGGTTTCCTCCGGGTGCTCCGGTTTCCCCCACAGTCCAAAGACATGCAGTACAGGTGATTTGGGTAGGCTAAATTGTCCGTAGTGTATGAGTGTGTGTGTAAATGAGTGTGTGTTGATGTTTCCCAGAGATGGGTTGTGGCTGGAAGGGCATCCGCTGCACAAAAACGTGCTGGATAAGTTGGCGGTTCATTCTGCTGTGGCGACCCTGGATTAATAAAGGGACTAAGCCGACAAGAAAATGAATGAATGAATGAATAAAAATTAAAAATAAAATAAATGTAATTAATAATAATAATAATTCCTTACATTTATATAGCGCTTTTCTGGACGCTCAAACCACTTAACACATTTTTGGGAGGGAATCTCGTCATCCAGCACCAGTGTGCAGCATAACGCGACGGCAGCCAATGATTGGTGGAGAGGAGACAGATTTGGTCAGGATGCCAGGGTTAAACCCCTACTCTTTTTTAAAGAATTTAATAACCAGAGAGTCGGTTTAGCGTCCCATTCGAAAGACGACTCTCACTGAGCATTATAGAGTCCCCTTCACTATACTGGGGCATTAGGACCCACACAGACCACAGGTTGGGCGCCACCTCCTGGTCTCACTAAGACCACTTCCAGCAGGAACCTAGCTTTCCCATGTGGTCTCCCATCCAGGTACTGACCGGGCGAAGCCCTGCATAGCTTCAGTGGACGACCATGTGAGAGTTCCAGAAAGCTAACTGCCGGCAATTTAATTTAATTTAATTTAATTTAATTTAATTTAATTTAATTTAATTTAATTTAATTTAATTTAATTTAATTTAAAATGAAAAATAAATTACACTCAATTTAAAAGATAAAACAGAAAAAGGAACAATTAAATTAAATAAATTAATAAAAATAAATTAAATAAATAAAAAAACTAAATGAAATAAATTAAATTAAATTAAATTAATGCAAAATAGAATTAAATAAAATATTTAATTATAAAAGTTAATAAAATAAAATTTAATAAAAATAATAAAATAATACATTAAATTGAATACAACACAAATAAATAAAATAAATAAATAAAAATTTAATATGAAAATAAAAAATGAAATATGATAAAAAAATAAAACTCCACTTTATTATTTCAGGGCATGATCTCTACAGTTTGATATATTTCCAGCCAAAAACCTCCAAAAGAACACACCTTTTCTATGTCTTTATGAGGTGAGCAATGGACGAAAGCAGCTTCGAGACGTTCGAGGACGAGCTGAAAAAACCCCTGCCGGAAAATCCTCCTCAGAAACCTGTCAGACAAACACGAGCAGGTACAGATAAACACAAAATACACCGCATCAATTGCCATTCAAGCGCAGATATTAAACCTCCAGAGTGAAGAGCTCTTTCTAAATTCAGATCGAGGCATCTGGACTATTTTGTGGTGTTAAAGTGAACAGAGAGGCTAATAATACTCACAATAACCTTTACAGAAACACGACACCGCACGAAACACAAACGCACAACAGCTCTCTCTGAAGCTGTATAGAGTATTGACTCACTCCTCTCATGACTGTGATTGCATTTATTAAATTATTACACTTTATAAATCTTACATGGAGGCAGCACGGTGGCTCAGTGGTAAGCACTGTGGCCCCACAGCAAGAAGGTCACTGGTTCGAGTCCCAGCTGGGTCAGTTGGTGTTTCTGTGTGGAGTTTGCATGTTCTCCCCGTGTTGGCGTGGGTTTCCTCCAGGTGCTCCGGTTTCCCCCACGGTCCAAACACATGCACTATAGGGGAACTGATCAACTAAACTGGCCATAGTGTGTGTGTGTGTGTGTGTGTGTGTGTGTGTGTGTGTGTGTGTGTGTGTGTGTGTGTGTGTGTGTGTGTGTGTGTGTGTGTGTGTGTTTATGGGTGTTTCCCAGTTCTGGGAAATTATTTGTGGTATTTTGTTATTTATTTATGAACTTTTAATTGCACTTATTAAATTGTTGCACTCGGTAAATCTTAAATATTTAATATGATTATTTATTTAAGATGCTTGTATTTCTGTATGTCATTATCATGGTTACATATCATTATATCAAATATTTACTTTTACTTATTTACTTTTAATTTATTCATATATTTATTTATATTTCTGTATTTAAACATACTCTGATAATCGAATTTGAACTCCATGATTGCTTTGATTAGTGATTATCTAACAATTCTCATTTGGTTATTTTTATTTGTGTTTATTTATTTGTTTATTGTTTTATATTTGTTTATAAAATGATGATAAGCTTATTTTATTTGCACTTATTAAATTATTACACTTGGTAAATCTTAAATAAAACTATATTTAATTTAATCATTTATTTAAGATGCTTGTATTATAGTCGATAGTCGAATTTGAACTCTATGATTGCTTTGATTGGTGATTATCTAACATTTGTTGCTTGTTTTTTTTATTTATTTGTATAGTTACAAATGAATATGCATTTAACAACTGAACAATCAAATTTGAACTGTATGATTGCTTTGATGTGTGAATATCTCCCATTTGTTATTTATTAATGTATTTTTGGTGTGTATATTTATTAGTTTATTTTTATATTTATTTATAAAATGATGATAAGCTTGTTTTAATTGCATTATTAAATTATTACACTTGGTTAATATTAAATATGTTTAGGATGCATGTATTTATGTATGTCATCATCATCATAATCACATGTATTATCAAATAGGAAGGTGTTATCGCTTCCTTTGCTTATTTATTCATTTATTTTAATTAATTAGTTAATATAGTTAATAATTCATTCATTCATTAATATTCATTTCTATAATTAAACATAAACTCTGATAGTCAAATTTAAACTCTATGATTGCTTTAGTTGGTGAATATCTCCCAATTGTAATTTATTTATTTTTATTTGTGTTTGTTTATTTATTTGTTTATTTTCATATTTATTTATAAAATGATGATAGGCTCATTTTAATTGAACATTAAATTATTCAACTTGGTAAATCTTCAATATATACGTTTAAGATGCATTTATTTATGTATGTCTTCATCGTGATCACTTATATTATCATATAGGGAGGTGTTTTCACTCCCTTTACATGTACTTATCTATTTACTTTTATTTATTTGTTTATTCATGTATTTATTTATTCATTTATAAACTGGTTTAGTGTTTTAAATAAAAGTTTCTGAAATGTTTGTGTTGTGCGTCTGACCTGCTGTTGTGTTTGTTTATAGAGATGTACACTCAGAGGAGGGTTCGAGAGGTGAGTTTAATACCACACGACAGCTGGACATCACTCACACACACACACACACACACACACACACACACACACACACACACACACACACACACACACACACACACAGATTTACGCTTCCATTTATAACCTTGTGTGTCCTGCAGGAAGCTCCAATTGTTCAGCAGGTGCCGAAAATGATTCCCCGTGAACACCCGATGTCCAGCGCCAGTACGTCACACTGAAACACACATCAGGATGGTTTTATTAGCTTGTTTTTTTTTTTTTTTTGATTTTTCACACTGTGGATGACAACTTCAGACAAAATACCATCTGCTTAGGCTGAGTTGATTCCAAAAAGAATCTTTTTTTAAATTGACTCTTGAATCTTAATTCTTATGAATCAATTATTATTAAAACTGACTCATGATTTTTAATGCTTTGGTACTGATTCTTTTTGCAGTTAACTCTTGATTCTCAATGAATATAATCGATTCTTGGTGGAAATTACTCTCAAATCTCAATGTCTCCAAATCAATTATTTTTTGGAATTGACTCTCAAATCTCAATTCCTAGGAATCAATTATTTTTTAGAATTGACTCACGATTCTCAAAAGCGATTTTTTTAATTGACTTTCGATTCTCAATGCTTTGGAATGGATCTTTTTTTAGCAATTCTTAATGATTAGTAATCAATTCAATTTGGAAATGACTCTCAAATCTCAATTTCTCCAAATCAATTATCTTCAGAGTTGACTCATGACTCTCAGCATCTCAAAATCGATTCTTTTTGGAATTGACTCTCGATTCTCAATTCCTAGCAATTCATAATTGTAGCAATTGATTCTTTATTCTCAGTGCTTCGGAATCGATTCTTTTTGGAATGAACTCTCGATTGTCAAAAGCCCCAGAATCAATTCTTTTGGGAATGAACTGTCAATTCTCAACATCTCAGAATTGATTCTTTTTGGTATCCACTCTCTATTCTCAGTGGCTAGAAATCAATTTTTTTTAGGAAATGACTCACAAATCTTAGTTGACTCATGATTCTTTTTGCAGTTAACTCTAGATTCTCAATGAATATAATCGATTCTTGGTGGAAATGACTCTCAAATCTCAATGCCTCCAAATCAGTTATTTTGGAATTGACTCTCGAATCTCAATTCCTAAGAATCAATTATTTTTTGGAATTGACTCATAATTCTCAACACCGATTTTTTTTTAAAAGACTTTTGATTCTCAATGCTTTGAAATAGATTATTTTTGGAACCAAAGTTGACCCATGACTCTCAGCATCTCAAAATCTATTCTTTTTGGAATTAACTGTCAATTTTTAACATCTCAGAGTTGATTCTCTTTGGAACCGACTCTCAATTCTCAGTGGCTAGTAATCAATTGTTTTTGGAATCTACTCTCAATTCTCAATCCTTAGGAATCAATTATTTTACAACCTACTCATGATGCATTGAAATCGATTCTTTTTAAAATGAACTCTCGACTGTCCAAAGCCCCAGAATCATTCTTTTTGGAATCTCAGTGGCTAATAATCAGTTCTTTTGACTCACAAATCTCAATTGACTCATGAGTCTTAATGCTTTGGAATCGATTCTATTTGCAGTTAACTCTCGGTTCTTAATGACTGTAATTGTTTCTTGGTGGAAATGACTCTCAAATCCCAATGCCTCCAAATAAGTTATTTTTGGAGTTGACCCATGACTCTCAGCATCTCAAAATCAATTCTTTTTGGAATTGACACTCGACTGTCAAAAGCCCCAGAATAAATTCTTTTAAGAATCAACTGTCAATTCTCAACATCTCAGAATCAGTTCTTTTTGGAGTCAACTCTCGATTCTTAATGGCTAGTAATCAATTATTTTTGGAAATGACTCTCAAATATCGCAGTGCCTCCAAATCAGATATTTTTGGAATCAACTTTTAAATCTCAATTGCTTGGAATAAATATTCCTAGGAATTTTTGGAATTGATTAAATGACTCTCAATGCTTCCAAAACTTTTTTTTTTTTTTTTTTTTTTTGGAGTCAAGGCTCAAATCTCAATTCCTAGCAATCAACTATTTTTGGAGTTGACTCATGACTCTCAGCATTTCAAAATCGATTCTTTTTGTAATTGACTCTCGATTCTCAATGCCTAGCAATCAATAATTGTTGCAATTGACTCACAATTCTCAATGCTTCGGAATCAACTCAATGCTTTCGGAATTAATTCTCGATTGTCAAAAGCCCAAGAATCATTTTTGATTTTATTTGGAATCGACTTACAATCTCAATGGCTAGTAATCAATTTTTTTTGAAAATGACTCACAAATTTCAATGCCTCCAAATAAGTTATGTATTGAATTGACTCATGATTCTTAACATCTCAGAATCGATTCTTTTTGGAATTGACTCAATCCCTAGCAATGAATTATTTTTACAATCTACTCATGATGCATTGAAATAGATCCTTTTTGAAATCAACTCTTGACTGTCAAAGCCCTGGAATCAGTTCTTTTGGGAATCAACATTTCAGAATCGATTCTGTTTGGAATTAACTCTCGATTCTTAGTGGCTAGTAATCAATTATTTTTGAAAATGACTCTAAAATCGCTCAAAGCTGTTCTCAACAGCTAGAAATCATTCACTTTTGGAAATGACTCCTGAATCTCAACATTTCCAAATTAATTATTTTTGTATTCGAAGTGGACAATTAAGAGTCGATTCCAAAGCATTGAGATTTAAAAGTTAATAATAAAAAAAATTATTTTGAGGCATTGAGATTCAAGAGTTGATTCTAAAACTAACCAATTACGAGACACGGGAATCACATTTTACTGTAATGTTTATTAATGTGCATTGACCCTGTAAACAAATAAACTAAACTAAACTAAAAAAATTGATTCTGAGCCATTTCGAATTGAGAGTTGTTTCCAAAAAGAATTGATTCCTAATAATTTAAAATTGAGAGTCGTTCTAAAAAATAATTGATTTTGAGTCATTTAGAATGGAGAGTCATTTACAAAAAGAATTAATTCAGAGTTATTAAGAATCGAGAGTGGTTTCCAAAAAGAACTGATTCAGAGTCATTTAGAATCGAGAGATGTTTCTAAAAGGGATTGACTCTGAGCCGTTTAGAATCAAGAGTAGTTTTCAAAAGGGATTGATTCAGAGTCATTTAGAATCTAGAGTTGTTTCCAAAAAGAATTGATTCTGAGTCATTTAGAATCGAGAGTCATTTCCAAAAAGAATTGATTCCGAGTCATAGTCATAGAATCAAGTGTTGTTTCCAAAAAGAACCGATTCTGAGTCACTTAGAATCGAGTCGTTTCAAAAAAGAATTGGTTTTCCAAAAAGAGTGGTTTCCAAAAAGAATTGATTCTGAGTCATTTAGAATCGAAAGTTGTTTCCAAAAAGAATTGATTCTGAGTCATTTAGAATAGAGTCGTTTCCAAAGAAAAATTGATTCATCGTCACTTAGAATTGAGTCATTTTCAAAAAGATTTGATTCCGAGCTATTTAATATTGAGAGTCATTTCCAAAAAGAATAGCTTCTGAGCCATTAAAAATCGAGAGTCGTTCGCAAAAAGAATTGATTCTGAATCATTTCGATTCGAGAGTCGTTTAAAAAAAAACAACAATATGGCCATTTGGAATTTAGAGTCGATTCCAAAAAAATGTATTCCTGAGTGTTGAGATTCAAGAGTAAATTCCGAAAAGATTCAATTCTGAGACGTTGCAAAACGAGAGCTGATTCCAAAAACAATCAGTTACGAGTCATTGAGAATCAACCGCAAAATGAATTGATTCTTTTTAGAAATTACTCTCTTTTCTAAATGCACAGGAATCAGAGGCATTAAGAATTAATTCCTAAAACATATTGATTCCTAGGCAGAGCAGGCCAAATGAAATGCAGAGGTATACATTTTGCCATTTTAAAACAGCTTTTATAATTTTTGTGATTATCACTGCCAATAATTTGCATCATTATTCAGGTTTTGAAAGAAAATAGAAGGTTTATCAAGGAATCTGTGAGTGTGAAATAACTGGCCTGTTGTTTTGTGGTTTCCCTGTTGTTCTGTCAGCATCTTTACGCAGAGCTCTGTCCATCCAGAACCTCAGTCAGATGCAGATGGAGCGTCCGTGGGAAGGAGTGACACTCAACCGCTGCCTGATCGTGGCCATAACCATCCTGCTGCTGAGCTCCGGCTTACAGCGAATACACGGCATGTGGAGACATTATCACAAGTCTGGCTTAATGATCTGGCTTAAGAGCTAATTTGACAATGAACCCTTTTCACAAGACATGCTTCATAGTCATCAGCATCTTAAATCCTTGAAAGTTTTTAATAATTAGATTAAAGACAATAAACGAATGAGCACTAGTGTGAGGTGTGTGTAATGCAGTGTGTATGGGGGCAGGACAGTAAATCTGACGTTATTCACTCTTCTGGCTGCTGTTATCAGTCTCACACTATTGTTTTCCTCTTTCTGAAAGTCTTGATAACACCATCCTGGAGTAGTAGTTGTAAATAGTGTTCTCTCCCATTCACTGAGCTCTGAGTTCACCAACTATGAACACTTCTGCTGCTGAGAGACATGCAAATGTGAAAAGGCTCCATTGTGCTTAATTGTCTGTTATCTAATGCATAAACCACTGTTATTCAATGTAGGAACTGAAATCTAATGTAAGGCCAAATATGAACGCATACTCAGGATTGCCACTTTCAAGGACACTGACTTCAATGACTTTTTAAACCCCGAAGAGCTGTTCCCAAAAAGAATTGATTCTGATTCATTTAGAATCGAGAGTCATTTCCAAAAAGAATTGATTCTGAGTCATTTAGAATCGAGAGTCATTTCCAAAAATAAATGATTCTGAGTCATTTAGTATCGAGAGTTGCTTCTAAAAAAATGATTCTGAGTCATTTAGAATCGAGAATCATTTCCAAAAAGAATTGATTCTGAATCATTTAGAATCCAGAGTCATTTCCGAAAATAATTGATTCTCAGTCATTCAGAATCGAAAGTCATTTTAGAAAAGAAATGATTCTGAGTCATTTAGAATCGAGAGTTGCTTCCAAAAAGAAATTGATTCTGAGTCATTTAGAATCGAGAGTCATTTTTGAAAAAAAAAGATTCTGAGTTATTTAGAATCGAGAGTCATTCCCAAAAAGAATTGATTCTGAGTCATTTAGAATCCAGAGTCATTTCCTAAAATAATTGATTCTGAGTCATTTAGAATCGCAAGTCATTTCAGAAAAGAATTGATTCTGAGTCATTTAGAATCGCAAGTCATTTCAGAAAAGAATTGATTCTGAGTCATTTAGAATCGAGAGTTGCTTCCAAAAAGAAATTGATTCTGAGTCATTTAGAATCGAGAGTCATTTCCGGGAAAAAAAAAATGATTCTGAGTTATTTAGAATCGAGAGTCATTTCCAAAAAGAATTGATTCTGAGTCATTTAGAATCCAGAGTCATTTCCGAAAATAATTGATTCTGAGTCATTTAGAATCGAAAGTCATTTCTGAAAATAATTGATTCTGAGTCATTTACAATCGAGAGTTGCTTTCAAAAAAACTATTCTGATTCATTTAGAATCGAGAGTCATTTCCGAAAAGAATTGATTCTGAGTCATTTAGAATCGAGAGTCATTTCCAAAAAGAATTGATTCAGTTTTATTTAAAATCAAGAGTCGTTTGCAAAAAGAACTGATTCTGAATCATTTAGAATCGAGAGTCTTTAAAAAAAAAAGACCAGCAGAAGTTTTGACAAATAACATTGTTTCTAAACCCTTTAAGATATCTAGGAGTTGCCCACAGGGAAGTCCTCTATCACCTTTATTATTTATCCTCGCAATAGAACCATTCGCCATAGCAGTGAGAACGCATAATGCCATATATGGAATTCGAGAGAGCCACTTGGAACATAAATTAGCATTATTTGCAGACGATATTATTTTGTTCCTAAAAAAAATCTAAATAGCTCTATTCCTGCACTTTTGGATCTTATTGAAACTTTTGGAAAAATATCTGGATATAAAGTTAATTTCTCCAAATCATCTATAATGTTACTTAATGAATCAGAGAGAAAAAATAGCCAAGGTTATGCTTCTATTTTTGATTCAACAGATAATTTTACATATCTGGGTATTAAAATCATGGATGAAATAAATAAGATTGTTCAAATAAATTATGACCCATTTTTGGATGCTGCTATGTCATCAGTAGAACGTTGGACATCTTTACCCATCTTAATGATTGGCAGGATAAATATCCTAAAAATGAATATACTCCCTAAATTTCCTTATTTGTTCCAAAACATCCCCTTGCCCCCTCCCTCATTGCTGTTTACTAGAATTAAGAAACTTTATTTGGCAAAATAAACGTCCCAGACTACGTCTAACTTGCCACATGGCCAATCCGTCCCTGTTTGCTGTACTCTCCCATTCACTGAGCTCTGAGTTCACCAATTATGCTGCTGAGAGACATGCAAATGTGAAAAGGCTCCATTGTGATTAATTGTCTGTTATCTAAATGCATAAACCACTGTTGTTCATGTAAGAACTGAAATCTAATGTAAGGCCAAATATGAACGTATACTCAGGGTTGCCACTTTCAAGGACACTGACTTCAATGACTTTTTAAATCACTAACCATTTTAAATCGAGCACTTTAATTCACACCCTTAGCATATATATATATATATATATATATATATATATATAGTTGAAGTCAGAATTATTAGCCCCACTTCGAATTTTTGTCTTCTTAACAGAGCAAGGAAATTTTCATAGTATGTCTGATAATATTTTTTCTTCTGGATAAAGTCTTGTTTGTTTTATTTTGGCTAGAATAAAAGCAGTTTTAATTTTCATTAACCCCTTTAAGCTATTTTTTTCTTGATAATCTACAGAACAAACCACTGTTATACAATAACTTTGTCACTTTAAGCTGAACACCAGTGTGTTGAAGAATATCTAGTCTAATATTATTTACTGTCATCATGGCAAAGATAAAATAAATCAGTAACTAGAAATGAGTTATTAAAACTATTATGATTACTAAATCTTCTCTCTATATAGTAAACAAGCGGTCTAGTAATTCAGGGGGGGCTAATATTTCTGACTTTAACTGTATGTATGTATGTATATATGTGTGTGTGTGTGTGTATATATGTATATATATATATACAGTTGAAGTCAAAATTATTAGCCACACCTTTAATTTTTTATTCTTTTTTAAATATTTCCCAAATGATGTTTAACAGAGCAAGGAAATGTTCACAGTATCTATATCGCACCCTCTCTGCATGTTTCATTTGAGATTACGTCAAACATACAATAAAAATACACATTTTAAAGCACTTCAAGGACACTTAATAATCCGATATTAATTAATTGTTGTTTTTTTATAATAATAATAAAATACATAATTAATAAATAATAATTAATCTGGGATGAAAAACAACAAACTGTAAACTGACGGGCAGTGCTCTCTCCTCTCAGATGCTGTCAGAGGGCGAAAGGAGGACAGTGAGGAGCTCACGGTGCTGACCGACAGACACACGCTGCTCAGACGAGGGAAAATTACACCACAGGTGAGACAAACACAGACATCAGGTAAATAATCGAACTTACAGCATCTTATAAAAACTCCTATAGTGGTTAGTAATAGTGTTTTTGAACCATACTATTGTTCAGTGTATTATACTGCATATATAACAGTATCTACAACACTCTGTTATTGAATGCTCCAGCATATTACTTATGGTGAACTGATATACTGTAAATAATACTGCAGCATACTTTAGTTTTTACTACAGTAAACTGTGGTGTATTGTAGTGTTATATATCATATACTAGGTGACACAGTGGCTCAGTGGGTAGCACTGTGGCCTCACAGCAAAAAGGTTGCTGGTACGAGTCCCAGCTGGGTCAGTTGGTGTTTCTGTGGGGAGTTTGCATGTTCTCCCCGTGTTGGTGTGAGTTTTCTCCGGGTGCTCCAGTTTCCCCCACAGTCCAAACACATGCGCTATAGGGGAACTGATGAACTAAATTGGCTGTAGTGTATGAGTGTGTATGAGTGTTTCCAGTACTGGGTTGCGGCTGGAAGGGCTGTGTAAAACATATGCTCAATAAGTTGACAGTTCATTCCGCTGTGGCGACCCCTGCTGAATATATAGACTAAGCCGAAAGAAAATGAAAGAATGAATGAGTTGTGTTGCCATAGCAACTATAGAATAATTTTGAACATGCCACACACACACACACACATATATATACACACACACACACACAGAGAGAGAGAGAGAAAGTAAAGTGCCTGCTGTATGCGGATGACCTGGTGCTGCTGTCTCCCACAGCAGAGGGTCTCCAACACAGCCTGACTCTGTTGGAGCAGTACTGTGAGGAATGGGCACTGACGGTCAACCTGGACAAAACCAAAGTCATGGTGTTCCAGAAGAAGGCCAGATCTCAGGGACACAAATATCAATTCACATACAGAGGAGAAACTCTAGAGCATTGTAGCAGTTACTCATACCTGGGCATCCAGATTTCTGCCTCTGGGGGCTTCAATCTCGCTGTCAAGACCCTGAGCGAGAGGGCTCGCAGAGCATTCTATGCCATAAAATCACGCTTTGGCCAATTACAGTTACCAACTAAAACATGGATTAAATTATATCACGCTATTATCAAACCTATATTACTATATGGGAGTGAAATTTGGGCACCAGTATTAAAATTTGAAAATTGGAATAAAAGTTTAATTGAACGAACACAATTAGAATTTGCTAAAAGCATATTACATATTCACAGAAACACGTCTAACATTGCCTGCAGGGCTGAACTGGGTTTATACCCGCTAAATTTGGAGATTCAGAAACGAGCTGTTCAGTTCTGGCTGCACCTGCATCAGTCGGACCCCCAGTCTGTCCAATATAAAGCCCTTCTGGCTAATGAAAAACCTACAGTGTCTCATCCTCTAAACACACTGGTATCTGAGCTACTGGAAAAAACACAGACCGAACCCGTCCCCAAACAAAACCTTCACAAACAAATTGACAAAACATTAAAATATAACTATGATGAAAAACTGAAAACTGAACTCAACCTCCAGACTAAACTTAAATGTTATTCGGCCCTAAATAGAACCACACAGTTGGCAAATTATTTATCATTAAAACAATTAAAAGAAAAGCACATTCTTTCCAAATATCGCCTCTGTGATCATGACCTAGAAATAGAAAAAGGCAGACATAAAAAATCCTGGACTCCTGAGGAAAAGAGAATATGTCAACAGTGTGACACAAACCAAATAGAGGATGAGACACACTTCCTTCTGTTTTGCCCCAAATACAGCACCACTAGAGAAATATTTTTCCCCCAATTTGAAACATTGATCAATTCATTTTTTAATTTAAATGACTCAGAAAAACTTTACCATATACTCGGAGAGGACGAATTGACATTTGAACTGGCTGCAAAATATGTATATACCCTACACACCATAAGAAATGGTTAATGTAAATTTGTGTCTTATTTAAATAATTTAAACTTTTTACTATTATTATTATTATATTTATCAAATGTATTTTTTCTTTTCTTTTTTGTGTGTCATTATATCTTATCTGTGTTACTATTAATTATTATTTTCAATGGTTTTAATATGTTTCATATTTGAAATGCTTTGGCAATACTGTATTTAATGTCATGCCAATAAAGCAACTTGAACTGAACTGAGAGAGAGAGAGAGAGAGAGAGAGAGAGAGAGAGAGAGAGAGAGAGAGAGAGAGAGAGAGAGAGAGAGAGAGAGAGAGAGAGACTGGAATTCAAAATTATTCGCACTCCTGTGAATTGAATTTTCTTTATCAAGTATTTCCTAAATAATGTTGAACAGATTCAGGAATTGTTCACAGTATTTCCTTTAATATTTGTTCTTCTGTAAAAAAAAAAGTCTTATTTGTTTTAATTCGGCTAGAATAAAAGCAGTTCTCAATTGTTTTAAGTCATTTTAAGGTCAATATTATTCGCCCCCTTCAGCAATATTAGTGTTGGATTGTCTCCAGAACAAACCACTGTTATACAATGACTTGCCTAATTACCCTAACTTTACCCTAATTACCCTAGTGAAGCCTTTACATGTCACTTTAAGCTGTATAGAAGTGTCTTGAAGAATATCTAGCCTAATATTATTTACTGTCATCACGACAAAGAGAAAATAAATCAGTTATTAGAGATGAGTTATTAAAATATGTATTAAACATATACAGTTGGAAGCAGAAGTTTACATAAATTCTAAAAAAAAAACGGAACATAACCATGTTTAATAAATGTCTGATGGTAAATCACACTAGACGTTTACTATTTTAGGACTGTTAGGATTATAACTAAATGATTTACATTTGCTAAATGCCAGAATAATGAGAGAGTTATTTATTAATTTCTAGACTGTCAAAAGTTTACACACATTTGCTTGGTATTATTTTAGCTTTGCTTTTAATCTGTATAACTTTGGTCAGATGTTTTGGGTCTCCTTCCACAAGCTTCTCACAATAGTTTGCAGGAGTTTTGGCCCATTCCTCCTGCAGAATTGCTGTAACTGAGTCAGATTTGTAGGCTGTCTTGCTCGCACAAGCTTTTTCAACTCTGCCCACAAATGTTCTATAGGATTGAGATCAGGGCTTTGTGATGGCCACTTCAAAACATTCCCTCTGTTGTCCTTAAAGCACATTTTCACTAGTTTGGCAGTGTGTTTAGGGTCAGGGTCTGTTTGGAAGAGCCATTTGTGGCCAAGTTGTAATGTCCTGGCTGATGTCTTGAGATGTTGCTTCAGTATTTCTCCATAATGTTCTTTCTTCATGATGCCATCTATGCTGTGAAGTGGACCAGTCCCTCCTGCAGCAAAACAGCCCCACAACATGATGCTGCCGCCCCCATACTGCACAGTTGGGATGGTGTTTTAGGCTTGTGCGTTTTCCCCTTTGTCCTCCAGATGTAACACAGCTCATTATGGCCAAACAGTTCACTCTCAGCTCCATCAGAGCACAGGACATGTCTCCACACATCAGTCTGTTCCCAGTGTCATTCAGCTAATGGTAATCTGGCTTTGTTGTTGATTCTGACTTGTTGATTCTCCATGTTGTCACACAAGGAAGCAGTGTGTTTGAGCTTTTCCTTCAACACTATTCTACAGTTGTGCCTCACATTAACTCAAATGTTGTCAATTAGCCAATCAGAAACTTCCAAAACCCTGACATCATCATCTGAGCTTTTCCAGAGGCAGAATAATCTTATTGTGTGAAAACTTGACTTTCAAGAACAATTTCTCAAACAATCTCTCTCTCATTATTCTGCTATTAAGCAGAAAAGAAACACATGTGATCATCCTAACTTACCTAAAAGAGGAAATCACATCAAATTTAGTCACAGTAACTGACTTCAACTGTATACATTAAAAAGTATGCCCTATTAAAGGACTCCTCTTTAATTATGACTTCACTCAGTGGAAATGATGCATGTGTAATATGTATGAATGTTAATGATTGACCTCTGCATTGATTCTCTCAGCCGGACTCTTCATTATGGGACACACTGTTCTGGTGGCTTGATGATGATGATGATGATGAAGAAAAATCCGGAAAGCACAAGAAAGTTTCCAGGAGCCTCAGACATCGAGCCCTTCCAGACCCGCGGCTCCTGAAAAAGAGGAAAACCTTCACTGAGCGCAGAGGAAGAGGAGAAGAAGAGATTAAAGAGAGACAGAAACAGATGAAAGCCAAGAAGGTGGAAGAAGATGAAAACTTGGAGAAGAAAGCAAAGAGAGACAGCAAGAAAAAGATGAAAGCCAAGACGAATATGGAGGACAAAGAAGAGGAATGCATGGAGAAGAAGAATAAAGCAAAGAAAAGTCCTGTGAAGAAAGAGTAACTGCAGTGATGTGCTTAATCGCCATGAAAATAATGCGATCACTTTAAAAATAAGATTTGTTTTTCCTTTAGCAAATTTCTTTGTGAATATATTATTAATCTGATGATGAACTATAATTGACCCTTCGCTAAGCCACACCCAAAAAACGCCATCCACCAATCGTGGCCTAGCAACCGTAGCTACGCGCAGGGGCTCTGTCAAGCCAAAGAGCTTAGAATCACCAAGAGGCGACACTCTAGTGCAATATGGGAAACAGCCACTGGAGGGCGCGGCGGCCATGTTGGAATGAAAACTCCAATAGAGCAGCAGCATATTGTGTGTAAAATAAACTATTAAAAGTGCTGATGATCATGATGGTAAGTGTTGTATTGTCAACTTTCAGGTTGTATCTTAGCTTTAATACACTTTTTAAATAAATAAATAAATAAATAAAAAGCAGCTGCTTGCCTTCGCAACAGCAATGAGATCCAATGGCCAGCCGATCACTTTCACTCTAAAGTGGCGGAATCCAGGGCTGTTGCTGGGCGCTGCTGTTGCAATGGAACGTTCTAGAGTGTCGCCTCTTGGTCATTCCAAGCTCTTTGGTCAAGCTTTCGAGTGAGGGAAACTGGCCAAAGCGTTGTGCATATGGATGGTGCAAATCTGATTCCCGGTCTCCTAAAAGTTTAGATTTTTTTCCCTTTTCAAAACTAAAAACCCAAGAGGAGAAATGCCAGCATGGATCAAGCTATGTGAGGGGTACTAACGCCCCATTCACACGGGGTTTCAACATCAACGCTTCCCATTCACTTTGAATTAGGCGTTGCCAAACTGCATTGTTGATCCATCGGCGCTGCTTCAGAGGCGTTGCTCGCTGCAGAAGTTGGGACAGGAGCTGCGTCCCAAATGGCACACTATGCACTCATGCACTATGTACTTATGCACTTCCAAACTCAACAGTATAGTACATATATGTAGTGTTGTCCCAAATGGCACACTAATGTTTTTTTACTAAGCGGAAATTCAAACCGTTTCCCTGATGACGTTTGCCAAATCAGTGAAATAAACGACAGAATTATCAGATAATACCTGCCGTGAGTATAACCGCATTCACCATCGGGAGGCGCTATAATCACTCTCGTAGGAGAATTTTGCTTTCACCATCCAAAATAAATAGTTATGCAACATGTGCGTCCAGTAGCTCCGCCCCTTTCGCTACGTAAGCAAACCTGCGGTCGATGAGTGCGTGAAGTGTCCATCATTACACACTTCATTATACCAGCTGAATGAGTGCATCATCCAGGTAATTAAAGTGCACTTACAATTTTTAGAGTTTTCAGTTTGAACGCACTACTTACACTATTTATACTACAAAATTGCCTAGTATAGTGCATAAGTATGCGATTTGGGACGCAGCTTGGCACTACTTTTCAAGCGCTGACAGAAGCGTCAGCCAATCAGATCGCTGTATGCAAATACACCAGCTAGACAGTGGCCTATTGCTGACTGAATTTTATTGGCTGACGCTGCTATGTCGATCACGGTAGCCCCAACTTCAGACACGCCTTCAGTCAAGTGTTGGCGCTGAAGCCCCGTGTGAATGGGGCGGCAGCAGAGTTAAGTTGCTTTTGTTTTGATATTCCTGACACACTCAGTGATAGACCGATGACAATAACTCCTCTGACTCTTAAAGGGCACCTAGGTTACCCCTTTTTTCAGATTTAATATAAGTCTTTTGCGTCTCTAGAATGTGTATATATAGTTTCAGATCAAAACACCCATCAGATTTATCATTATACCTTTTACAAGATGCTGTTTTATACTGATTTCCAGCAGGGGGTGGTTTTGTCGTACTGCGCCTTTAAGACGAGTCTTTCCCGCCTACTGTTTCTACATGCCTTCCCGCATGCTTTAATCTCCTCCCTTGGCTGCGTCAGACAACAGACAGACCTAAAGGAAGGTCTCACGTAGCGTTTATGAGAAATACTACAGTAAGAACTAATCTTTAATAATCAGCGCACACACACACACACACACACACACACACACACAGGCAGGCAGACAGACAGACAGAGCGCGCTTAGCACTGTTTTTGCACTCATATGTGACAGGATACAGGCTAACCTCCACTGCTGTGTGGATATCTGTTATGGTAATGTACAAAATAAACCTGATTTAACGTCCACAAACCGGGATTGAAGCGTCTTCCTTTAAAATTGTTCTGACACAGCAGTGCTGATGAAGTAAATCTGAAGTAAATCGCTGTACTTCATTACACACGTGCACTGTTTTAAAACACTTTAAACATGTAAAACTCACTCTTAATCACATTTGATGATGATTGCTGATCCTAGCGAAATGTGCAGACCTTTTATTCCCGGTTGCTTTGCGGATGTCTGGTCTTGTTGACATACACGTGACTACCGGAACATGTTAATGTGCGCAGCTGTCAATCAATTCAGTGGGCGGGGGGACCGCTCCTACGCAAAGTTGCGGTCGGTCTGAAAACCGCTCTAATTGGTCCACCGTTTTTATGTTGTTAAATTGAAAAAAAAATAGACTGGGTGTGTTTATATCAGCTCAATATGATAGTCTATACACTATATATATACACATATGTCTGTCCAAATAGCTTGAAAAGTAGATTTTTCACCATAGGTGCCCTTTAACAGATCTAAACTGTTTCCTACAAAAACACAAAGCAGTTTATGTTTCACAGCTGTCTTTCTCTTTTTTTTTCGCTCGACATTATAAGTAATGCTCCGTTTAAGCCTTCACCATAGTAACTTAGCCATACTAATAGCGAATAGGTCATATTGACACGAGTCATGGATATATACACTAGATATCGCATAGGGACCCTGAGTATGCGTCAATAGCGCCGCCATATTGGTACAGTGCTCCCAGGACAAATGTCATTCAACCGCACTAGTCAAGACAGTGTTATTACGTGAAGATGCGGGACTTTAGCGCTGTCTACGGGTGTAGTAACGAGCAAACAAAGAAAACAAAGCACAAAGGCAGAACATTTCATAGGTAATATTATGTTTTTTTTTCTGTTTTTGTATGTTCTGAACTGTTGTGCTAATCAGGTAACGTTATTGATGATAACAGTCACTTACTGCATTCACCATACGGCAAAGCAGCTCCAACTCGCACTAAACACTCGGCTTATGCTAGTTTTGTTGAATAAAATCAGCAAACAATGCCAAAGAAATATGACAACGAGATGCTGCGCTGCCAGAAACTTGTATTATTGTCGGCTAACGTTAGTGAAAGAGTCGTTCGGGGGATTCATTTACAAACGAATCGCTCCCTCCGTCAGTATGAGCAGTGAAAGCAGGAGAGGAGCTGTGTTTCAGGACATGATTAGATCAGATTTAACAGGGAGGGTGAATAGTACATTTCTGTACACACAAACACAAGCTTTTTGTCAGGAATGCCCGTGCGGTCACTGATCCATCAATGTAGAAAAGTGATGTAAAATTATAGTTTTCGTAATTAGAAAAACAAATTACACACTAACATCCAGGAAAACTCCCGATCACAGATATATGTGTATATGTGTATATCTCTGGCTTTGCATGGCCACAGTCCACTGTACCTTGGTCCCGCATTAATTTCAATGGATCGAGCGCTACCCTGTAGCAAGAGGGCGGATTTTGGTATTCCGTCCAATAGACAACAATAGGCCAGGCAACATCTAGTGTATATATCTATGGACACGAGTAATTGATCCGGAAAATACCAATCTGCGAATCTGTTGCTAACTTTACTGAACTTCATATCTCCATCTGTTTCAAGCTATGAATATTAGACATTACAAATCAACAGAACAAAACCGAGATATGATCACAAACTGAACACTTACGATCATCAATACACTTTACCCCCAGCTGTTTATCAGTAATTTATAAAGAGCACACAAACATACTGACAGTTATAGATAACTTACTGTACATTGTTATGGGTCAATGATGCTAATATTCGGCATAAATCCATCAGTGTCCCCTTTCTGGCTGCTCTTTCTATGAATAAACTATGTAAAACCTCTGTCCATGCCTGTTTCCTGGTCGGTTAGTAACACTATATTCATTGCACAATATAAGTATATCAGGCTTTTTGGCTAAAAATAGAAAAGTCACGGTTTAATCAGTTACTATTAGATTATTTTTTTAATGTCACCTCTCCTCCTGTGTATGAACTCATCTTTTGAATGGTCAGCGTATGAGGCGGCTAGGCTAAGCTAGCTTCAATTTTGATTAAATTATTCTCCATTTCCTATTATGTGGTGAATATACCCCTGTAATGCACACTGCAGTCCTTTTTTGTCTGGCTTTCTTGGATATCTCAACCTGTTCGCTAAATATGACATTATACCCCTGTCAATGTCTGGCACTGGCGCACACACATTGAAAAAGCCGTGCCAGGCACGAAAGCTTGACAGGCTAGCAACAGTAACAAGGGCGGGGCTTAGCGAAGGGTGAATTTTGGCGCTCTTTTTGTTGGTTATTAAATACGACTAAATGTATTTATTGACATTAACAATTGATGTCATAATTTAAAATAAATTATCGTTTTTCTTTAGCAAAATCTTGTCTTTCATTTTGATCATATTTTTGTGATTATCTTTTCGATCATGCTGATGATAAACTACAATTTGGTGCTTTTTCTTTGCTTGTTTTGTGGTATCCCTGAAATTATGATAGCAAGCAGCAGATACAGTTGAAGTCAGAATTATTAGCCCCACTTTTTATTTTTTTTTTCTTTATTTTTTTTTATATTTCCTGAATGTTGTTTAACAGAGCAAGGGAATTTTCTTATTATCTATAAGTCTTATTTATTTTATTTCGGCTAGAAAAAAAGCAGTTTTAAATTTATTATGAACCTATTTTAAGGTCAATACACAGATATACATATATAATATATCTTGCAAATGAATAACCCTGAAACAAAACTTGACTTTTACTTGACCAAGTACTGTTTACCAGAAAGAAGACGGTTTTAATCATAATAGTTTTAATAACTCATCTCTAATAACTGATTTATTTTCTCTTTGTCATGATGACAGTAAATAATATTAGACTAGAT